GCATTGTTGTTTGCCTGGCAGTATAGGTACTGGAGTGCTGAGAGAAAGAGAGATAGGAACCGTCATGGCACTGAAGGCACAGTGGAACTTGGTGTTGAGATTGTTGGTTGACAACAGGTGGTGAGTAAGAATGGCCAGAGTGAACTGTGTTGGCCTGTTTGGGAACGTTGATTTGATTTCTCAGATGCATCAGGTAACCAAGGATGTTGGTTGGAACTGCAGTTGTGAAAGTGTTCGAGTTGAGCATGTATTGCTGTAAGTCAGTGGAAACGACCTGAACTGTGTAGGTAGTGGAAACCGCTTTGAACTGTATTTTGAAACGAAACAGGAAACTTTGTTGTGAGTTTGTTTTCATGTTTCTTTGACCGGAATTTGAACAGTTTTGCAGTGTCGCAGGCAGGTCAGGTATGACTTACGTTACTTGGATTGCTGCAGTTGTTTGTGAAACCTGGGACAGATGCAGAGAAGGTACATTGAACCCTGAGACAGGTAGGTACTCTGGAGTTGTTGTCAGACTGACTGGACTTTGTGTGAAGACAACTTGAATGCAAGTATTCCCTTTTGGCTTAGAGCAATCGTACCGTACCTCTCTAGATGGATGGATGAGCACGGAGATATCTGCAAGCCAATTTTGACTGTGAGACGAGCTCTATGGTCTTTGTAGTGATGATTGCCAGTGTGGTTTGCCTACTTTGTTTGTGGCACTCCCCGTGATCAAAGGAAGTGCCATAACCAACGTAGTCTGAGAAAAAGATGCTTGTGATGTTAGTCGACCCTGGAGGGTTTCCTTTGCGAACCTTGGGCCATGTTGAGTGGACATCTTGTACTACCAGAAGGCTGGCATGGAGTTTCACGAGATTTACAGCATTGGAGCTTTGCAGAGGATCCTGAGAGAGGGAAGTAGAACGGTAGTATAGTTTGTGCGTTTGCGTGTTGCTCAGAGTGAAAAGCAGAAGAGGGAATCTGGGATTTGAGATTTGCAATTTCTTTTGAGTTGAAGAGTTTTGACTTACAACAAAAGGAAAGAAATGGGCTGGATGGCAGAGGCGCTGCATAGGTCCATAGGGAACTGGACGGCAGGGGCGATTACGACTTGCATAGGTTCCGAAAAGAAAAGAAAAGTTGTAGAAAGTCAAAACGTGGACCAGATTGCAAGACGTTGCAAGGTTCACACATGGGCTGGATTGCAGACGTGCATAGGCTCAGAGAACAGATTAAGTAAGAGAGAAAGAAACAGGGAACTGGACGGCAGGGGCGATTACGACTTGCATAGGTTCCAAAACGTGAAACTGACTGGAATGAATGTAAATGTGATGTCAGTTTGTGGCTCGACATACTGTCTAAGTGAGAGACGAAGTATGGAGCTGTCTATTATGCTGGACTTGACGTGACATTTTGTCTGGACTTCTCATGTTTGTATAGGTTTCATTCCACCGTTGCTGTTTTATTATAAGACAACTTTGGCTCAGTGTTTTTGCATTTCAACCGCCCTATCGATCGCTTTGAGATCCTTTGGCATCAATGGCAATGGAATCCATTCGTCTTTGGTTGGCTCTGACTCCTAAGCAGTTTGAGGACTTGAACAATGGCAAGGAGATTCAGCCTGACGAATATTCCAAAAGGTTTGGACTACGAAAAGACCCGATTGCTGCCGTTGAGCGTGCGCAGTACTTCAATGATTGGACACCGGAAGGTCCCAAGGGTGAGTTCTGTGCCAAGGATTATGTCCTTGTTGAGGTCGAACTGACCGCCATTGGCTATCTCCAAAAGGCCCAGGCGGGGGTCCTTCTGAAGTATAAGCCCAACGAATATCGTTGGCAAGGCACGATGAAGGCTTTGGAGTTTGACCAGAATGGCAACTTATTATACAAGTTTGCCGCGGACGCTCACAGGATCGTCTGAGTAGGGAGAAAATATGCTCCCAATGTATAGGTTTTTGCAATGGTTCCAGGCCGGGTGGTAGTGCTAGGCTTGGAAGCCGACGATAGCTGCGAGGAGAAATGCAAAAGCTGTGGTGAAAGAGCTGTCAAGCTGAGATTGGAGTGACATGACAATTTTGGGATGTCTTGGAATTTCAGAGTTTTGGACGATTTCGGACTGGACGGAACTTGGACTTGTGGAACTCAGTGTGAGTAGTTTTCTGTCAGCTGTCATGAGTGTTGCACTGTTTTCATTTTTCTGCATGACATGTCTATGGGTTTTATGCGCAGAAACCACTGTGATCTGTTTTGCAGTCTTGTGAAGGGGTGTGCATGCATTGGCAGTTGGATTTGGATTGAGTTTGCGGTTTGCCACAAGTTTGCACTATTTTTGTTTTTGTCTGAAACATTGAAGTTTGGTCGATCACATATTACCTGTCAAGATGTGCGGCACGCATCTTGGGGTAGTAGTGAGTGTGATCTTTGTCGGAAGTGTGAATCATCTGTTAAGGTGTGTGTCACGCACCTTAGGATGAACAAGAGAGAGTTTGTGCTTGGCATGGCATGAAAGGGCTGAGTTGTAACCGGCATGGTCAGTAGATGGATCGTCAAGTTGGATTGCAGATTATGCCCAAGCTGTATTTGGGCCCCGGCTTATCCCAGCGAGTGCATCAGGCCTTGTCTAGGAGACTCGAACGATTCATGGCAGCGAACGTGCCAGCTCCAGCAGCCCCGGCAGTTCCAGCGGCAGAGGGAGAATTTCCCGTGTCTGAGAATCCAGCGCTGACGGCACAGACAGGAGTTGCTGAGACGGATTCAGAGAAAGAGAGAGAGCAAGACACCGCTCATTTCCATGGAGAAGACAAGGAAGACAAAGAGGAAGGAGATGCTGGGAGAGATGACGATAGATCGAGATCTCCAAGGTTGAGAATGCATGAGCCACTTGATCACAATGATGCGGCAGAACTGCTGAGCTCTACCACGGGCTTGGCTGTGGGAATCACTTCGATGGTCGCTGCGCTGAAGGGTTCGATGGACAAGATCGAAACCCTTATCAAGAGTACGCATACTCTTCAGCAGGACCTTTGCCGAAGCCTAGAGGCCGTGGGAGCGGCAGTCAACAACATGGCAAGGGCATCAGAATCATTGGCTGCTGGTGTGAACCACAACACCAGCCGCGTGGGTGCGGTCGTTGGTGAATATAACAAATTGAAAAAGCACCTGGAGTGGGCACTGGATGTCTCTATGGCAGACGTGCTCAAAAGAAACAACAAAGGCCGCACTGAACGCGACCAAGCTCTACAGGATTTGATGACCCAGCTTTTCGAATCGATGGACAAACTACAAGAAAATATGAAATTAGTTGCTGAGAGGATTGAAAAGGGGACACCGCCAGAGGCAGCTCCAGCATACGATCCTCCGCAGCCACCTACGGGACACCATGGCATGAAGCAGAGTAGCCCGCCATTGGCACCGATGACACCGGCGACTGGTGTGAGCCTAGGACCCAGCCACCTACCACCTCCACCGGCAGTGCCGCCAAGACCTGTGGTGCCATCACCGCCAACACTCCCAGTGGCGAAGTTCGTGGGCTACATCCCGGCAAAGATGGGAGAATTGCCAATGAGCTACCCCCTGGCTCTTGAGGTGAAGGACATTAAGTCCCCACCTTGTCAAGTGATCGAAGAGGTCACGGGGCGTATCAGGTGTGTTTCACCAACTGCACGTCACGACCCAATGACGGGGACGGCAGCTTTCTCCCCTTTAGGGTATATTCAAATACAGGGGACGCAAGAGTACCGTCGGGTATACCCCTGATTAATGCTCTCACGTAGTGATTGCGGTGTCTAAAAATAGGCCAGCGGAGATACGCAGCGAAAGCCCCATCAACTGCACATCCCTGAACCTGTCAGGTCAAACAATATAAAAGCCTTCAAGGGTATAAGTAATAACCCAAGCGTAAACGGTAAAACTTACGCGTATAGTAAATACCACAAGTGTGCACTGATGTCAACAACATGTCTGAAACAAATCAACAACGAAAATCTTCATGCTGATTTTTTTAAACACATGCCAAGCCAACAGAACGTTTATAGGAAACCATCCTTCACAAAACAGTTTGCATGTGTGTTCAATCAGCCAATGTTGTAGCCATCCATTTTCAAGGGAAGATTTTTTCTCAGGGTTGATGGGCGATCCAGTCCGCAGAGGGCGCATTTTGTTGAGCTCACCCATTGCGTTTGTGCCTAAACCAACGGCCTGTTTTCCGTGGACAGTTTGCCTGCTTTCAGCAACCTCAGGTTTCATCTTGGGACTTGCAGTGTTTCTTGCTTGGATTCTGTCCTTGGATTGACAGGTATATGATCAGACGACCATTTCCTCGTCGCCCATCACTCATTCACAATTCTTCTCTCAATTTTATCTTGACTGGATACGGCAGTGCTTTGCAAATTCAACACATCATTTTACTTTTCCTTGCAGATCCACAAACTGATTGGACATTTGACCTCTGTGTGCTTCGTCAGGTTTCGGCAAATCTGTTCAGGATCACAGTTACGTGGCGGCAGGTGGACACTCCAAGTGTTGCCAGCGGTGCTGACGTAGCCTCAGATGAATTTTGAACCAGAAGCCTCACAGTCGTCATTTTTACGGGGGCCATCAACAGGACGCCTGCATTCAGACCAGAATTTTGACTTTGCTGCAAATAACTCTGGGATTTCAGAAGTTGATCAAAATGTAGAACACCACAGTTTTACTGCTGACCGTCTTGAAGAGCATGATCGTCTTCAACAGCTTTCAGTGGAAGGTCAAACAGAACAGGATGTACGCCCTGCAGTAAGAGGTTTTCGAGCTAGATGGAAAGCCCAGTCCCAAGCTAGACTGGAAACCCAGTCCAACAAGGAAGATCAGATGTCCGAGTCTCAACCTGATTCTCAGTCTTTAGGAATTTGGGAAGACGGTGCAACTAGTTCAAAGAGACCGAGGGTGCACGAAAGCCATCATGTGAATGCACAGGTAGCACATGAGGACGTAGGACCCTTGCAATTGCAGAACATTGCACGTTTAGCCAGTCTTGAAGCGATGCAGAGGTTCAGATCACATGACATTAAGATGCCCTGGGAGAAGGGACCATTGGCTCCAGTTTTTGGAGCCCCACTACCCTCGATGACGGGAGCCAAGACCTTAATGCCACCTGCGGTTGGATTGGTTGACACATTGGCTCCAGTTGCTTTGACAAAACAGGAAACGCCATTGCCAATGGGACCAGTGTCAAAGTTTGCTGTAAAGCGCATAGCATCAGCAAGATGCGTGGTACCAGAAGATGAGATGCTTGCCAGGTGCCTCAATCAAATCAAAAACCTTATTTTGATGGATTTGCAGGGGACTGAAGTTGGTGTCACGCTTTGCAATCTGGCAGGGGGCCTGGATGAAGCTGCAGACGTTTTGCAGATATTAAGAGACTGCTTTGCCAGGAAAGCCACTGCCACTGTCCTCAAACGTACTTCTGCGTTGTGGGCCCTTGCAGGTTGGATGATTCAGAATGAGCAGACAACAGTCTGGGCTATGAGCGAAAGACAGCTGTATGACTATATGTGCTTTTTGAGGGAACAGCAGGCAGCGCCGACGAGAGCTAGCCATCTGGTGGAGGCCTTGAATTTCTTTGACAGTGCATTGAGATTTAGGAAGATGGTTTGCAAGTCACTTCTTTCATCCAGAGTTTTGGGTGCGGCTCACTCGATGTATTTGGAGAAAAGAAAGCTGAAGCAAGCCCCACAGTTGACAGTTGCGGCAGTCAAAGCGCTTGAGATCATCTGCATTAGTAACACCAGCCTTTTGAGGACAGCAGTGGCAGGAGCCTTGCTTTTCTGTGTTTTCGCTGTGGCTCGTTGGTCCGATTTCTCAAGGTTGGAAAACATTTGGACCGACCGCTGTGGAGACTTGGTCCTGGTGGAGGCAGAGACATCCAAACACAAGACATCAAGGAGCAAAGAGGCAAAGACAAGGCTGTTACCCTTCACGGCGTTAGGGCGATTTGCCTGTGATGAAGTTTGGGGGGAATGTTTCGTGCAAGCCCTGAATGAGATCAAGAAGAACACGGGGCTGACGTTCCTGCCCTCATGGAATGACAGGAGCGGGACGTGGGCGGTCTCCCCAATGACAACTGCAGAAGCGTCCTTGTTTTTGAAGGAGTTTTTGGAGACTGTGCTTGGTGAAGAGGAAGCTGCAAAGTACAGCTCCCATTCCTGTAAGCCTACGGTGCTTACGTGGTGTGGAATGACCGAAATCCTCACCCGGGAGGAGCGCACGATGCTTGGACACCACATCGAGCCATCGACCAAATCTGCGACGACATACAACAGGGACTCCCAACTGCTGCTGCAGGCAAAGGTCGCCAAGGTTTTGGACAAAGTTCTGCAAGGTCATTTGGACCCTGATGCAAGCAGAGCAACAAGGCTGAACCAACTTTTGCAAGGAGGAGAACCGGAGCAAGATGAAGAGTCAGCTGAATCAGACTTCGAAGACACTGAGGTGGTGTCAATACATTCAAAGTGTCACTTGCTGGAAAAGCCAAGTGTTCCGCTTGGTGATGCCGATGAATACAATTTCGTTGCGCACAAGCTCACAGGGACAATCCACATAGTCCAGGATGAGGACGCCGGGAAGCTAGCTTGTGGGAGGCGCAAGACCATCAATATGAACCAAGTGGACCCCGACTCAATTGACCGTGCCACGGCTCCTTTCTGCATACAGTGCAATGCAGTAGTCAAGCCACAACATGCATAGACCAATGCGGAGAAAAAAGAGAAATTCCGACTCTTGACATCAGTGTCGTCTGATGAAACTGACACCCAATTGAATCGGGGTTTAAACATGAGTATAATGGGTACCATTATAACCCAACGTTCTTTCTGAGTCAGAGAATCAGTAACCCCTTAACAAGGAGAGAGCCACTACTCACGGGTAAAGACATCATTTGGAAACGGACTTCCTCAGCTCAGAGGCGCAAGTTGATAGGTACTCCATGAATGGTTAACCCATGCTCAATAGAGAACATCGTGGCGTCCTGCCATCTTGACCTCTTCACAAGGCAACCCTATCATGATTAAATTTGTTAGTTTCAATAAGTATATGCGTTGAAGAAGTTTGCAACTACATACCCAGAGCTTATCTTGATAAACCAAAAATTGGGACGAGACTTGAACAATAAAATGCTCAATCCCTCGTAAACACAGGTGAGCACCGTGGCACCAAATGCCGGGATACGCAGAACTCGGCAATTCTTCAGCCACTCAGCCATCTTAGCGAGGCTCAACAAAGTTGAGAAGAGCGAAAGTTCATTAGTTGCCAATAGTCCATGACAGACACATCATGGACCGTCAGAAAAAGGAGAGATATCAACAGACACATTACTCTCATAAGATTCCATTACCCAATAATAACATGGGTTAATTATCAATAACATTACCAGCTCAGTAACTATCGGGAGGCCAAACAGATATCGGGTCAAAAAGCCTTAAAAGCAAGTCTAAAAAGTTTTCCCCCCTTTTTAGAAAAGCACCGCGACGTCCAACCCTGATGGCACTGGATAGCAATAGCAAGGCCGCTTTTCAACAAAGAGCCGCACAGATAGAAATACCAGTGCAGGAGGTGGATGCCTTGGAACTAGCAGGCATTGACACCTATGCCAAGTATGCCTTTTGCAGCCAGTATCAACCAGGATCACAAGAAGAAAAGCCATTGGTCGAGTTCTTGGAGAACGCCTTAGGCCAAGCACCCAATGGTGAAATGATGTCGAAGTACCGCCGCCTCTTCTTCGAGAGCCATGCACTTTGTTTGCAAGACCTCCGGCAGAAGGTCGAACGCACCGAACAGACCGAAACAAAGGTGTTACCACTGGCAGAAAAAGTGGAGAGGGTCAATCAACTCAAAGCCCGACTTCCGGGATTGCTGATTACACAGCAGCTGGAGCCTTCACACCAGCTTGTTGACAAGGCTGTACAACAATGGGAGGAGAATAGCCTCAGGTATATTGAACTTTCAGCATGCACGAGCAGGGAGCAAGAGATCCTTGCTGAGAAAAGCACCCCAAGCATTTCCTTTGATGCCACAGGAAACATCAAAGTCACCAAGAAGCAGGAGCTGGCCCAATGCTCCCTCACGGGGGACCTGAAACTACGCACGGCGATGCAACGGCGTGGCCAGGGAAGAGATGATCCAGTTTCACCGTGCATTTCAAATTCAAATTATTTTGTCGAGCTTTTCTCTGGATCAGGGCAGCTATCAGCAGCTATGAAAAAGAGAGGTTTTTCAGTTTTCCCAGCTGACCACGAGTTCAACACGCATAAGACGGCAGTAGCAACTACCAGCCTTAACCTCCAAGACCCGAAGAGCCAGAACCTTGTAGAGCGCATGTTACTCCATACAAGACCAGCAGCCATACACTTAGGTTTACCATGTGGTACGTGCAGCAGAGCCAGAGACCGACCGCTTCCTCAACACCTCAAGTCGCAGTTCACCGACCCACCGCCGTTGAGAGATGCACAAAACTTGCTGGGGTTCCCGCACTTGGCAGGTACCCAAGCAATCAAAGTGCAGACCGCCAATGACCTCTATAAGTGGGGAGTAAAGCTGTTACACTCTTGTTTTAAATACAACATAAGAGTCTCCATAGAAAACCCAGAGCGCAGTTGGTTATGGGGAGTGCTGGCACTACTAGTCCGACAGTATGACGGCGCAGAGTTCTTGGCCTGGTTTGAGCAGCTTGAGCGAATCACCTTCCATATGTGCATGCATGGTGGCCGCAGGGCCAAAAACACGCGCCTCCTGGCGTCCAAGGGCTTGTACACCTCCCTAGCCGGGGAATGCGATGGAAGCCACGACCATGAGCCATGGCGCATCACAAAGGTTGGGACCACTTTGCACTATGACACTGCCACCGAAGCAGAATACCCAGCTTTACTCTGCAAGCGCATGGCCGATCTCCTCGCACAAGCAGTTGACTTGCCACAACCACCTTCCCAAACCACAACCTCAAGAACCTCAAGGCGCATTTTGGGCCACCATACCAAAATGGCGCCCCCTTTGGTGCCTGAGTTTGCCACCTTTTTGGAACTGGACAAAGAACCAACTCAAGCTAACCATAGATGCCTTACATCTCAACTACGGGGGCAAAATACCGAGATGTGTGGCCAGCCAGAACAGCCAGACTTGAAACAAGCAGACAAGAGATCGAAAAAGATGTTCAGGGTGGGGGTACAGCAAGAACCACAGGAGTTTTTGAAAGCAGCGATGGAGGTTCCTCACCCTATGTCACCGCAAAAGGTCCTGCCTAGTTCACTCAAAACTGCCCTCTTTGACAACCTGACTATGGACCCAGTTGAGCTTGCCAAAAGTAGGTTGAAGGCGGTGGTGACAATTAGGAGCATGGCCAAAGACTTGGAAGAACATGAAAAAGCGGTAAAGGAGAGGTGCACCCCTTCGGTGCGTGAAGTTCTCAGTTCAAAACGGATTGCACTCTGGGAATCTCTCCTGGTGGCATCAAAATTCCCAGACCTTGAGATAGTCGAAGTAGTAAAAAGAGGGGCGGAGTTGACAGGAGAGCCAGACACGTCCCCTTTGTTTCCTTTTGACTGGAAGCCAGCAGTTGCCTCGCAAGAGGAGTTGTTAGCCTCATCCGTATGGAGGCGCAAAGCACTTCAAACCCGAGCAGGAGACGGAGAAAGCCATGATAACACGAGTTTGCATGAAGCAACCATGGAAGAGGTCAGACTAGGGCATCTTGCAGGACCGTTCACCGAGGCTCAGATGGATCAAAAGTTTGGACCAGCGGGATGGCTCTTCAACAAGCGTTTTGCTTTGCACCAAGGGACGCCTGAGAACCCAAAGGTGAGAGTTATAGACGATTGCAAACGCAGTGGCCTGAATAGTGCCTACACCACTACCAACAAGCTGGAACTGCTGGATGTGGACGTGTTAGCATGTGCTCTCATGGCCATCGCAGATGCGCACTCGACTGGATGGGTAGACCTGGGAGAATGTGAAACAGGGAAGCTATCTGGCCCTATCAATGCCGTAGCCCGGAAGTCAGAATGGCTTGGAAGAACGCTGGACCTTAGCAGAGCTTACAAACAAGTGCCCCTATGCGAAGGAGCTCAGGCCATGTGCGTTTTGGGTTATCACTACAAGGGAGAATGGCAGTACTACACAACCTCAAGATTGCCTTTTGGGGCGACCTCAGCAGTATATACCTTTAACAGGATAAGCCGGTCCATACACCATATACTCTGTTACTTCCTCCATGTAGTGTGCACATGTTTCTACGACGACTTCCCAGCACTTAGCTCTAGCTTTGGAGCCAGCCTGGTCTCGAAGTCCATGAGCCTGGTGTTAGACTTGCTTGGATGGGAACACGCCCAGATAGGAGTTAAAGCAACAGACTTTGCAAGTGAGTTCGCGGCCCTGGGCATCACCGTGAAGTTGCAGGAGTTGCACATGGGGCATTTCACTCTGGCAAACAAGGAAGGGAGGATTCCCAAAATCCTCCAGATGCTCCACAAGGTAAAGCAGCAAGGGCACATCTCCAAGAACGAGGCGGCTGAAATTCAGGGGCACCTGAACTTTGCACAGGGTTTCTTCACCTCCAAGTCACTTAGGTTCGTCCTGGGACAGTTTGATGCGCTTAGCAAAGTGCAAGGGCCCGGTGCAGCACGAAAGCTGGGCATGCTGTGCGATGTCACGGAGCACATACTGTCAGAGCTGCCTCCCCGGAGATTTTCGGCCTGCGCAATGAAACAGCCTTGTCTTTTGTTCACAGATGGAGCTTGGGAAAACGGTCAAGCCACGGCCGGACTCCTCCTTTACAACCCGGACACCCGGGAAATCACAGTCAGGGAGATAGAGGTGCCCGATAGCCTCACCAAGCTTTGGCTCCAAGAGGTTGGCGAGCAGTTGATATGTCAGATAGAACTGTACGCTTACATGGCGGCCCGTTTTGAGTACAAGAGTTTGTTCCTCAACAGAGGGGTAATAGCATGGTTGGATAACGAGTCAGCTCGTTATGCAGCTAGCAAAGGGTCTGCTCAAGCGCCTACGCTAACAGCCATGGCGAGAATGGTGCAGCAGCTTGAGGTGCAATATCCAACCGTCCTGTGGGTAGAAAGGGTATGCTCCTACTCAAACCCCTCCGACAAGCCGTCCAGAGGTCAGTGCGATGCCGCAGCAAAACTTTTTGCAGCAACTTACAACAAAGAGAAAGTCAGGTTGGGGAAAGAGACAATAAAGTCGGTTGAAGCTCTGCCCAGAGACTTGCTTCTGGTAATCAAGGATCTGTGATTACGCTGCCAGAGCTCTTACGGAAAAAAAACGGAAGACCTGGAAGCTTTCTCACAGAGCGGGGGCAACACACCAAGAAAGCTGTGCACGTTCCAACAAGTGCATCAGATACAACAACTTCCGAGGAATCAACAAACCTGGGAAGTTTCCAATAGATACTACCAAGAGGCGTCACCGAAAAGCCTCAACAAAAAAATCTAAACAAGTGTGACGCTTCCACAGAGAACCGACTGAGATCCCCAGCTTGTCGAGCAAAAAGGCAGCGGCCGCATTGTGCAAGCATTCATTTTCATTTCAGACATGTCCAGTGCTGTCTTTCGTTTTTGGTTTACGCGTTAGGATATATAGAATATTTGGTTCAGTTTTTACTTATACCCTGGCGAGCCGTCGTAACCCGTTATATACGCAGCGGCTATATATACCGATAACAATAGTCAGATAGAATGTCAGAT